GGTTTCTGTGGGGTTTCTCTTTCACTGGCGCTCAAACTTTCTGCTCCACCATGAAAACAATGCGGAGAAGAGGCAAGTGGCCACTAGATGGCAGCAGAGGGTAAGAAAAGTGAGCTCCAGGCTGCTAGGGTTGGGGGGATGAGGCTTACAGCCCCTCCATTTTGCTTTACATCTTTAATGAGATATGTGAAGAAAATGAGTCCCTTACATGCCAGACACAGATGCCAGAGCATATGGAGAGATGCCGCACAGCAATATTTCTCTGGTTATTAAACAGGAGGCACCTAACTAGTCATTCACTGCATCATCATGCAGAGTTGTCCTTTGTGTCTTGGATGCCGCTGTTGACAAAGTAATAACAGGAGAAAGCAGTTGAGAAGACTGATGTAGGGATGTGGGCCTCTGGGCTCGCAGCATTGCCCAGCCGGGGTGCTGGGCGGGTTGCCAGTAAATGCGGGCAGCCCAGCCCACCAGGGCCACCTTGCCAAGGGACATTGTGTGGCTTCTGCTGCCAGACTCAGTCCAGGCCCAGCTTGGCAGCTCTCTGGTCTCCCTGGCAGTCCCTGAGGGCTCATTAATTCAGGACCCAATTACCACCAGACAGCTCTGGAGTCTGACCTTTTGCCACAAACCCCAAATGGGACTGGGAGCTCCGGATATTTTAAAGAGCAAGGCATGCTTGCTTTTCTAACAGAACTGAAGACGCACCATGACATGAAAATGCACTCAAATGCACACAGATAGGGCAACACTTTTTTTCACGCTGCCCCAAGCAAAGATGGGGAGTCTAGCCCTGCTGCCTGTGAAATATTTTCACTAGGAGAGTGGTTTCTCCTGACGGACTGTTACCGGGTCTAGGAGCAAGCAAAAGTATATTTTATTTTGATATTCCACCCACTTTCCCACTCCCCACACTTTGCCCCACCCCCAGCCTTCAGCGTGGCCATCCCTTAATTAATTCTCCCACCCTCCCAACCAAAGGTTTTATATAGCCATTCTTCATACAGAGAAACTGAGGTGCAAAACTGAGATACAGCTCAGATACCAAGTCTCCTGGTCCCCATCCCTTCCCAAAAAGGTTAAACCTCTAACACAGTCTCTGGTGGAAAAGTAATAGCAAGATTCACCCTGCCACTATTTCCTTCCCGGTTTTGGAAAACGAGGCTATGTGCCAGAAATCTTCACTTGTCTGTGTGACTGTAGACAAGTCACTTAACCTCCCTGTGCCTCATTTTCTCATCTGTAATTTGAAGGGCTGGAATTGGATGATGACTAAGGCCCCTTCCAGCTCTGCAATCCTGTGGCTTTAATTTCACAAGCCTCTGCCAGCCCTCAAAGAGTGTCCCACACAACGCATTTTCCAACAATAGCCACGCTCAACAGGAGCGAGCAGAATTTCCTCCTCCAGTTGAGAAGAAATGTGGCTGTGGTTGGAATCTTGTTGATGTTCTTTGTCCTCAGAGCAAGAGAAACAGGGAAGTTTCAGATGTTATTGACACTAACAGCAGGGCCTGGAGGTGGCCACACTCTTGTGGAAGACTCGACACAGAGCTGTCTCGGTGGGCGGTGGAGGTGCCCAGGCAAGGCTGGAGGATGTCTTAATAACTATTTCTCAATAAAAAGACCCATTTTATTCTGCACAGGGGTCTGGGGGCAAATCCGGGTCTCCCAGGAGGAATCTAGTCTCGCCCATAATGGGGGATTGGTTCAGCTCAGCTGTTCTTACAAAGGGCTGAATACAGCATGCTGTGGTGAAGGCAGCTCCCCACAGCTCCATGTGAAAATGACTCACAGCAGTTATGAATATCAAACCTCCTTTGATGTATTCCCAGACACGAGGAGCGGCCACCATGGGGAGGAGGTGGACTCTGGATGCTAGCTCTGTGGGGTGGTGCACAGAGGGCCTGGGCACATCTGGCACCCTCCTGAAGCTCCAGGAGAAATCCAAGCTGCCTAATTACCCCAGGACAACAGAGCTCCCTTTCATCCACCTCTCGTCTCTCTCCCTCTTTCTCTTTCCGTCTCCAGCAACAGAGGAATTAGATTCTCCAAGAATTACAACCTGTTTTTATACCTTCACCCTTCCCGAGGGGATAACAACTCACTTCCCTGAATAAAACTGGTTTTATTGAGCACAGAATGAACGCACCCCCTCGCTCGGCATCTGCGCCGATTGCTTTAAAGCCATAGATCTGGCCCCAGTCAGTCAAGCGGAAGGATTTTCCACTGCAATGGCCATTTCTAGACACTCAGCCTTTCAAGTGGCCGCATGGCACCTTGTTCTACTAATAGGCTCTCAGTGATGATTGAATACAAAGCCTCCCAAGTCCCTCTTGTGTTGGCAGCTCCTGAGACCCGGTCAGTCACCACCGTCCAGAGCAGAAGACCCAGCCATGCCGACTGTACAGTGAGTGGCCAGGCTCAAAGCAAAAGGGGATGGTCAGCCACTGACACCTGAGGCCTGTTTCAACCGAAAGCTTCTATATACGAGGAGGGTCCTTCCATTCTAGACAGGGTTCAAGAATATGTTGGTTCCTAGAAATTTGGGCAAAGTCTTTCCGGTTATAAAAGGGAAGCAGCAAAGGGTGTCTAGGGAGGGAATCTGTTCAACCCCATGTCTGCGCATTGCTGTCTTCTGAAATGGGGCTGATTTTATTTGGTAGTGAAGTTGGGCTTTGACTGGAAAACTCTCACGCACTCGCAGAGGTCTGCACATGCGCACATGGAAGTACTAAGACACCTACTCTGAGCTCTGACCATATGCCAGGCACAATGCTCAGGGCTTTGCATGCACCATCTCCTCTAAGCCTCAAAGATGCCTGGTGGGGAGGGCAGGTATCATTATCTCTGTTTTTACAGATGAGATGTCCAAGGCTCAAAAAGGCTAGGAAACTTGCCTAAAATTGAAAAACGAAACTGAAAGAACTGAGATTCAAAACTGCTGGATTTTTAAAGCATCCTTTCTTAACCACCGTGCTGTGGTGGTTTATTAGGCATCTGAGGCACTGGAGTTCTAAGGGGCAGGAAAGGCAAGCTCTTGACTTTAGAAAGCTTGAGTTCAACCACTCACCGGCGCCCACAGAGTTACTGTCACTTGTGTCCTCCAAGACTCCTACAACCAAGGAGCCCACGTCCCATCCTTCCCCCTCACACTACTCTCAGACCTCCTGCCCCACTCCTGATTCCCAGCATGAACATCGTGTGTACCATAAAGACTGGGGGTCTTCTCCAGCTTCGGATGCTTGAATTTTACAGGCAACAATGTGGGCAATTCGACCACTGATGCATGATGCTACAGTTACTAAGCTCCTGAACTAACCACTGTTTGTTTTATACTGTTTTTTAATTTGCTCGGGAAGTTTCTCTAACCCATTACTCTATATTTTCAGAAGAGCAACAGGACAGGGACAGGGAAGATTTCAAGGTTGGAAGTTCAGGAATCCAAGTGATAGAAGGAGAAGAAATAAAGCAGGATGAGGTGAAACTCTCAGAAGGGAAAATATACTATATCTGAAGGACATTGCATGCTAAGATGAAACAGAAAGAAGGAAGCAAAGGTCACATTAATTGCATATTTTGCCAAGAGCAGACTGGCTGCCAAGGCTACTTCAGCCCTCCCATGATCTGGGAGACAGCACTGTGTCCTGCTGTGCTGGACATCTTCCAGTGGCACTGGCCCAAATAGGGGAGTTGAGGGGAAGACTTCTTGATGTTAAGAAGGAGAAACTTCCCTCCAAAGTCAAGTTACTGAACCACCTATGTGTAAGATATAGGGAGTCTGACCAAGACCCCTTGAGTCCCAGGAAGAATGCTGAGAGCAGACTTAAGGTAAGTCGATGGACTGGATCCCTTTGCAAATCGAATTTTTTAAAAGTTCATTACACACAAATTTGCATCCAATTCACTTCTGGAGATTCATGCTCATTCCTGCACTGCCCATCAAGCTGAAGATAGTTATTCGAGATCAATGTTTTCCTAGAACCTTGACAAGGCTAGACTGAGAGTAAAGGGGGTACAGCTCTAGGCCATCTCCGCACCATCATCACCACCACACTTCCTAGGTCCCCAGGCAGGCTGGTCATCTTGTCAGCCAGTCATTATTTCCCCTGGCAAAACCCAAATTGGGAAACCAATATGATCTTTATTTCTGGTTCTCTCTACACATAGCAGTCCAGGTACCCGGTCGCTGATGAATTTTAATTTTCACTTTAGTTTCTCCACTATGGCTTCCAGTTCCTACCTTGCCAACCTCATCTGGGGGAGCCGCTCCTGAGTCTCCTTGTTAATCCACAGACACCCACCTCAGCCTCACTCTAGGAATCCGTCCTTCCCAAAATGCCTACATTTGACCACTGGAGGGCAGTGCTGGACCAGCCAAATCTCTTCAGGGGCTCTGCTCCATCGTGCCCACCTTGCCCTGGCATAGCAGGATGCAGCCTCTGGTTGGAAGCCAAAACCGGGGACCACTGGAGCACCCTGAGAGCAGCAGCGCAGCCAGCACTATTACAATGGCTCCCCGCGCCTGGCGTCATAGGAATAAAAGGCAGTTCATTGGAAAGAGGATTTGGCTCCATTGGTGACACAGTCCCCTGGGAAAGAGACTGAAAGGAAAACTTGCCTCATCATGTCATTAACCAGGAACAATCTGTGCCTCTGACCAGGGGTTGCAGACTCCTACCTTTTTCTACCCACTCAGAAGTAAGCTCCTGGCAGCACACACGGTGCTTGGCAATAAACGTCTGTTGAATGAGTGAATGGATGCATGCATGCATGTATACAAATGCATAATTGAAATTGGCCATTTTCAGATCTGCTGCTGTGTTCTAGCTCTTATAACACTGAAAGTTTAAGCCATCAATTAGTTGCTGAGCATTCATAGTCTTGGAGACAGCTAAGGATAGTCAGGTGATTAATTACAGCAGTGGTCGTTGTACAGATGTTATTTCAAACACCACTTCAAGAATTTCAATTTCTTACTTTTAGGAAGTCCTTCATTATGTCACCCATGTGTTCTCAGACCTCACCAGCCTGTGGATTAAAAAACATAGACATTGTCTCCTTAATATCCGACTCACAGTAACCACAGCCTCTCTTGCGGGAATATGAAGCAGCCATTCTCTCCCTGGGGGATTTATGGTAATTTCATCCCACACTGGAGCCCCATGGGGCTCGACAGCTCTGAGGTGGAGCTCCTCTTCACGCCACCTTGGGCCATCTCATGAGACTCATGTCTGGGCTACTGTCCCCTATACCCACCCCCGACAGATCCCATGGCAGTGTGGACACAGCCTGCTCCCATAATCGTTTAGAATACAGCTACACACTTGAGGAGAGAAAGAAGTGCACATTTTGAGACCATCCTGTCTCCTCATGGGCTTTCACATAGCAGGAACAAGTCTGTGCCCCAATTAAAAATCTGCAGGTATTCCCCACATCCATCTCCAAGTTCAGAACCCAAGCCTAGCTTCTTTCCTGCCCTGAATCAGGACAGGGGAAAAATCATTTCCTGCCAAGAAGCTCTCCCCACACCCTCCACTATCTCAGGTGAAGTCTGATCTTCGCAGCCCAACAGGGCAAACATGGTGTTTTTAGGTCTTAGAACACCATATATGGGACACCAATGGCCCCAATTAAATTCATATGGGATGGGGGTGGAATTGGTCCCTAATTCTAATTGGAAAGAGACCAGTTAATGTATTTGAGAGAGAGAGAGCTCATGAGCGGCAGAGAGAGAGGGAGAGAGAGAATCCCAAGTGCAGAGCACTATGCAGGGCTCCATCTCAAGAACCGTGAGAGATCATGACCCGAGCTAAAATCAAGAGCCTGACACATAAGTGACTGAGCCATCCAGGCACCCGACACCAATTAGTTTTTAACCAAACACTTACCATCTTAGTATATAACATCTGCATTTAGTTGTTTGTCATTTTTTAGAGAGAGAGCTCACACACTCATGAACAGGGAAGAGGAGGAGAGAGAGAGAGACAGAGAGAGAGAGAGAATCTCGAGCAGTCTCCATGTGCAGCATGGATCCCAATGTGGGACTTGATTCCATGACCCTGGGATCACAACCTGAGCCGGAATCAAGAGTCAGACACTCAAAAGACTGAGCTGCCCAGGCACCTCTGCCTCTAGTTTTATGATAGCTTCATCATCTTCACAGCAATGAGTGGATATTTGTTTTAGGTATGAATAAACTTATTCTAAACCTTATGCTAGTTTTTTCAACAAGAAAGAGTGTTCTAAACTTCACCCAGAGTCTCTACTCTCCTGACAGAACCCCAACATGCCCAATAGTCTTGGAGAAGAAGTTCTCCAGCCAAAGCGGGAAGAAAAGGAAAGAGAAGAAGAGCCCTCGCTTTGTAAGACATAAATTGTTGTTGTAAATTTCTAGCTGAAATTTCAGTATACAGTTCAAAGGACATGGCTGGTCCTAATCCTTCTCATAAAAATGCTGTAAATTAGAGAATACCTTTTCTGAGAGCAAACAAATTGAAAACAAGAAATTCATTCTAAAGAGCATTTTTCTATCACTGTCCATTGGGGAGCCGAGTTGATCATATGTTAAGTGTGTCCTATCCTATGTACTTTCTCGAGATGCCTTCACTGTGATTAAGGGATAGGCCTCCAGGGTAGTGTCTCAGTTCTGTACCTGGAAGAAACAATGTACAGAAATTTCTGTAAGAGAGGAGATTGACAGTTAATACATAAGAGCCGAGAGACAAGGATGGTCCCCAGGGTTAGCTCCTGCATTCAATACAGACCTGTCTTGGGGCTCTGATTTCCAGTTCCAGGTCTCATGACCAGGTTTGACATTGATGGCAGGTCACAGATCCTCCTGCCTTGTGATTTCAAAAGTCTCATCATCTTTCCTGAATTCTTAACTTTCTGACACCTTGTCCTAGGTAAGAAGTGTCTGAGATTGTTTCCCTTGAAACCATAGGCCTTTCTTACAATTCCGGGGCCACACAGCCCTGATAAGTAACCGGGGGATTTTATTTTTCATGCTGCTGTGGCCATGAGATCAGATATAAAATTAATGCAAAAAGTGGGGTAGACAATGAGAAGGGTGGGAAATAAGGACCTGGAAAGAGGAAGAAGATTAAGGAGACACTTTAAAAGTAAATGAATGATATGGGGGGTTGAAGGAGATGGGAGAAGAAAGCCTCTTCCTGGCACCCTGGTTGTGTACTAGAATATTCTCCAGTTCCCATGGTCCATGGCCTTGCCATCCAAAATTAATTCTTGTTTGTTTTTTAGTACATTAAGGCTTAAGGTGTCAGTCCTCCTAAAATGTTAGGCTTAAGGTGTCAATCCTCCTAAAAAGTTCGAGTCTCTACCCAGAATGGCTTTGGGTATGACGTTCCCCCCCCCGACCAGGGACGGCCTTCCTTAGGAGTCTTTGGTGAGCTTGTCTGCAGTCCCATGAGCACACATATATCTTCCCAGCCCGCTTCCAAACAGCATTCACACTGCTATGGCCATGTCTAGGGAAGACTCCTGACCACCCCATCACACCATGTGCTCTGGTGCAGCACCCCCACTGCCATGTCATCAACCCCCCAACCCCCACCCCACATGCCTGTTTGTGTGTCTGTGTGGCCTCAGCCATCCCCACCTCTCTTCTGTATAATCCTAAATCCAGGCATTCTGGGGTGTCTCCTTATTTCTTTGTGCATTGTCCTGTTATGCCTTTAAAGTTGTTCATGAGACTATCTTGCAGAAAGATGAGTAGTCTTGTAAAAGATACTAGGAAAAAGATGAGGTAAGTAAGATGGAGGCGGCCATGGGAGTAAAAGCTTTGACAAAGGCGATAAAAGAAAAAGAATCCTTGACCTCCATCAGCCCTGCCTCTCCAAATAAGATTGGCCATAAAGATAGCTTATTATTTATCCCAAATTAGAATTTCCTGGCTCTGCAGTCATTGTGTACGCAATGAAAAGGAAGCTATCACACAAAAGATGCAGTTATCTTCACAGTGGGAACGATTGCAGCCAGCTGATTCTGTTCCAAGAATAGAATGATAACAGTGCTAAGTCAGGAACTCCAAAACTTTGGATCATCAACAAATAGAATGATTTCCTGATAGGAAAATGGTTCTAAGGGAAGGTGGGTAGAAAAGGAACCCTCTGACTCTCGGATGGGGTGGGGGTTACCAGGGGAAATTCCAATCTGTGCTCCTCTGTGGTGAGCTCACAGCCAGCTGTGTTGACTTGGAGAAAGCCCTGCCTGGATATGGGCAGACCTCAGAAGCTCCTTCACCTGCTCCTCCACAGCCTCATACATATTGTTTGATGGGCTGTACCTCCTTCTCTTGCCCAAAGTTAAACATTATTATCAGACTTTAAACTCCACAGTGGCAGAAATTTGGACTGGTTTTTTGCTTCCATTGTGTCCTCAGCACTCAGCAGAAAGCTTGCATATAATTGATGCTCAATAAATATAATGAATGCTCAACTAGTTCATCAATTAATTAAAAATGAACAAATTACTTCCTCCCTGGCTGGCTTCTGTGGTGTGGGTCCTATAACCATAAACTGCCAGGTGGGCAACCAAACCTACACTACTACATCCAGGAAAATGACTGTTCATACCTTTCCTCATCCTTCTGTACACATTAGATCCCCCAAACTCAGGAATAAGGACCCAGGAGATCGTGACCCACCAAATGTCTTTCAACAAAAGACTGTCTTCCTGGTTGTTTCCTTTCAAAGAATAAGCCTCTTGGGGCTGATAAGAGAATGGCACCAGATGCTGAAAACACAGGCCCCGAGTGGCAGAGGAGCGCCAGAGCCTCCTCTAAAGGGGCCTGTTGGACTGCTGCCTTTGAACAAATCTGAGTGTGTCTTTCGATAGCGAGCACCAACCACCCCCAAGGACCTCTTTCCTTTATTGCTGCAGCAATGAAGCAGCCACATGGCTGTTGCAGATAAGGTGGCCCAAGTGCATTCTGCATGCAAAGTAGGCTTCCTGGTAAACAGCACAGAGAAGAACTGTAGACGCACCATGCACCGGCTTCTCTGCCTTGTGCTGCCCTTCCTCTGTAAGTGGCTCCCAGGTAAATGGGTGCAATTTTCCTTCCTTTCTCATTTCTCATGTCCTATCCTTTTTGCTTTTCCAGATGGCTCCTGCAAGACTCAGATTATACAATCTTCCAGCATAACTGCCGTGATTGGGACAGATGTGGAGTTTCGATGCCAATATAACATTCCTGATAAAAATTTTGAGTCTGTGTACTGGTATCTGCAAAGAGCTGACCAAAGGCTCACCTACATCTGCCATGCCTCTCAAGGCACCACGGAATTGGAACATTACCAGCTGTTTGTGAACAGAACATTGTCCTCCAGTACCTTAACCATTAAGTGTGTGCAGCCAAGAGACAAAGCCATTTACTACTGTGCTGTTCGGCACCATGATACATACTGTGTATCACATGAAATAAAAACTGTAAGCCTCAAGCAAATGTGACACCAGAAATTCAGAGGGTCATCCAACGAGACAGAAGGTGTTCAGTGTTATCTTGAACCTTCCCCCATTCATTCCTCCATTCATTCATTCAAAACTAAGGGGACCTTATTAAATACTGTTGAATTACTTGAGCCTTTGACCTGACAGATAAAGGCACAGTCCTTAACACCCAGAAAGACAAATGAATTGGACACACATACAGACTGAAAGCCAACAATCAACATCTTAATCACACACCCTTGAAAACCTATCAACATTTCTAAAAACCTGGAAAGAAATTATATATGTGTATATATATACACATATATATGTACATTACATATATATACACACATATATATGCCTAGAAAATTAGATAGATGATAGATAGATACATATATATGTGTGTACATTTTATATATATAAATATATATATATATGCCTAGGAAATGAGATGATAGATAGATAGATAGATGTAGAGTTGGCAGTACAGTATCAATGACTGAAACAGACTTGAAATCCAGACTTCTTAAATTTTGAATCCCAAATCTTCCATTTACCAACTAACTAGCTATATGACC